TCCTAACCCCTAAACCTAAAACTGTATGTTTTGCACGCTGCAGTTGGGCAATGGGGAGCAGCTCAGGCTTTGAGGGTGCCGTAAGAGTTCAGGGCTTAGAGTCTAGGGTCAAAGGTCAATGATGAGTACATGCATGGAAATAATCGAATCGCTCGTCTACATCTCTCTTTCTCTCTCTCTCTCTCTCTCTCTCTCGCTCTCTCTCTCTCCTCTCTCTCTCTTTCTTTCTCTCTCTCTCTCTTTCTCTCTCTCTCTCTCTTTCCTCTCTCTTTTTCCTCTCTCTCTCTCTCTCTTTCTCTCTCTCCCTCTCCCTCTCCTCCCTTCTCCCTCTCCCTCTCCCTCTCCCTCTCCCTCTCCCTCTCTCTCTCTCTCTCTCTCTCTCTCTCTCTCTCTCTCTCTCTCTCTCCTCTCTCTCTCTCTCTCTCTCTCTCTCTCTCTCTCTCTCTCTCTCTCTCTCTCTCTCTCTCTCTCTCTCTCTCTCTCTCTCTCTCTCTCTCTCTCTCTCTTTCAACCATCCATCCATCCGCGTGCATGCGTTCACGCATGCATTTTGAGAGATAGATAGATAGATAGAGAGAGAGAGAGAGAGAGAGAGAGAGAGAGAGAGAGATATATATATATATATAGATAGATGGATAGATAGATAGATAGAGAGAAGCCTGTTCCAGTAATTTATGTCAACCTCTGCTGGGGCTTTGTGGACTGAGGCCCTTGATCTCTAAGTCGATCCAAACCCTCCGTACAGCAAGCACCATCGGAGATCTGAGCCTTAGGGTTCGGGTTTAGGCTTTAGGGAGCACTTGGAGGGTCGGGGGACTTAGTAACTGGTTATTGTAGGGACTTATAGGTACCATAACCCCAAATAGGGTCCCTTTTAGGGTACTTATAAGTCTACGTACTACCTACTTACTAAGTCCCCCGACCCTCCAAGCAGGACGTTCAGGGTTTAGGTTTGGGAGTTGGGGTTGAGGGCTTGAGCCATAAGGACCATGCCCGGGCGTTCAGGGCTTTTGGAGTGCGCTGCAGTCCGACTCCCTTCATAATATAGTGGAAGCCAGCCGGTCCCCAGACAAGAAACGGACAAAAGGCACAAGAGCACACGGCAACAGCAAGGAAACAACACCCTAGCCCGGATTAGTCTGGGGTTTGGGCTTAGAGTTCAGTGTTTATGGTTTCCCTAAACCCTAAAGCCTAATTACACAAAAGATCTGAAGGGAACCTCGTGCAGAACGGCCTAGCGTGAAAGCCCAAAACCAAACTCCACAAAGCCGTACCTGCCAATCCCTACATTTATCCCTGAATACGGCAGGTCGCGAGACACGGCACAACAGGCAATCACTAGCTCTCATGGCAATCACCATCTTCGTGTCAACATCGCCATCGTCACCATCAACCTCATCATCATCACCACCCTCATCATCATCTTCACCACCATAATATCAAGCATTGTCGTCATCATCATCACCATCACGATCGTCATTATCGCCACAGCATATCTTCATTCTCATCAAGCATGTTAAAGTCGCTGTCTTTGCTCCTTCTTCCTCTAGGTAACCGTAGAACAGCAGGAAGCACTGCCGTCTATGATCACAATCATGACACTGAGCCCTAAATCCTTAAACCCTAAACCCTTTAGGTCCCTTTAAAATGATTGATCCCTCAACCCTAAAACCCTAAACCCTATAGATCCCTTTAAATAGGATCCCCAAACCCTAAACTCTAATCTCTGCGCACAGGTGCTCCAGTTTCTGATGCTCATCTCGGGGACTTGCTATGCGAAGTCTTCCTCTTCCCTGATGCGATACTGCCGCTGGGCTGGTTTGTTGGTGATGGCGGGGCCTTGAGGCTTGGCGGTGGAGGCTCTTTAGGGTTTGGGGTTCGGGTTTAGGGTCCAGGGTTCAGGGTTTAGGGTCTAGGGTTTAGGGTTCAGGGTTTAGGGTTTAGGGTCTAGGGTTTAGGGTTATGGGTTTAGGGTCTAGGGTTTAGGGTTTAGGGTCTAGTGGTTTAGGGTTTAGGGTCTAGGGTTGTGGGTTTAGGGTTTAGTGGTTTAGTGGTTTAGGGTTTAGGGGAACTTCTGCTGGTCGGATTTGATTGCTGGTTCCAGGTTTGTAGTGGTGTGTGCAAGTTATTTCTTTGGGTTGACTTGTTGGAGGCATGAAGCACTTGGAGTGTCATTCCTTCATGAACTCTGGATAAGTTCGGGATGCACATGCCTAGGCCATGGTACTGTTGTAAGAGGTCGGGGGTTTAAGGAATTAATCAGTAAATTAAGTGTTTATGCGTGGGTCTGAGTTTTCATTGTCAAGTTTCTGCTGATTCTGCCTACGCATGTTGTAAAGAAGGCAGCAGTTGGTTGTCGTTCCATTCGCTGTTCTTGTTTTCGGGGCGTCTGGAGCTCGAAATGTCTGCACTTCGGACTTGGGCTGCTTGCGGTCTTCACCCCTGTCTGGGGGATCAAAGTCCCCCACGTAATCCCCAAGCAAGGCTACCGCCCAAGTTAGTCTCGGGATCTATAGTATAGATCCCTTAAAGGATCCCTGATCGGCACCCTTAAGCCTAGTAGTAGAGTAGGTAAGCTTTAACCTTTTTTGGGGTAGTATAGTCCCTATAGAATCCCTATGTATCCAAAAAAGGTTAGGCTTTAGTTCCCCATGATCCCCGACAAGTTGGTAAAGGTACCCTTTCAAATTCGAGCCCTGGCCCGAACCCTTTGATCCCCAAGCGCATGCAGGGAGCACCTCGAAAGGTCTAAAACCAGGCCTTGAAAAGCGGCCCCTGCTCTTTCGGAGGTCACGTGGGATACTACCTTAAGGGCCACTGTATAAACCATATCGGTACATGGACCCTTAGGATTGGGAGTGTGAGATTTCTTGGGTTTGAGGGCCTAAATTTGCAAAGTCTGGGTGCCGGTGTAGGGCCGAGACCTGAAAAACCCTGCACCCTACACTCTACACCATGAACCCTGAGCCTGACGCCCTATGCCTCAAACCTCAAACCATAACCCTCAACGGACATCTCCTTACCCTAAGCCCTAAAACCCTAAACCCTAAATCCCTAAAACCCTAAATCCCTAAACCCTAAATCCCTAAACCCCTAAACCACAGACTTTTCAACCCAAATCTACAGCCCAATTCATTCGAGGTTGGCGTCTTCTTCTCGTATGGTCGGTGGGAACCATCATGAACTGGCGCCTCGCTTGGCAGTGGTCTACTTGGAGGTTCAGGGGCAGTTATAAGGGTTCCTGTAAGGGTCCCTTTAAAGGGTTCTGTAGGGATTCAGGGTTGAGGGTTTTAGGGTTTAGGGTTTCGGTTAGTTATAAGTGGGGTTCTAAGGCCCCTAATATGGGTTATAAGTATAGTTACCCTACTTATGACCCCACTTATAACCACCAATGAACCTCCAAGCAGTGGTCCATGGTCTAGGTTTTTGGGGGTCTCGGCTTTGCGGGGGGGTACAGTGTCCGGTGTGTAGAGGTGTAGGGTTTATCGTCTAGGGTTGTGCGCGTACTTCAGAGCTCGGGAGTGTAGGACTAGAGTTCGAACGTGCTAGTGTATGCATGTATGTGCACATGCTTGTCCGTTTGTCTGTCTGTCTGCCTCCCCCTGCCTGCCTGGCTGTCTGTACGTCTGACTGTCTGTCTGTGTCTGTTTCTCTGCTTGTCTGTCTGTCTGTGCACACTCATGCATGCGCATGCATCCTCCGATGTGTGCTGGGGGAAGGTAAGGTACGGTGCAGTGGAGTAGGGTAAAGGAAGGAAAGGGAAGGGACGGAAGGGAATCAGTCATGTAACATGTATTATGTCGTCCTGTAATGTAGCTGTATGCTTGCTTCTATGCCTTTCTTAAAGCCTTCAACTCTAAGCAACCTTAGGAGAGTGATGGTTCGCATCCTGCATCGATAGTTCTCAACGCTTGTGTGAGTTCAGTTGAGATTTAGGTAGGGGGTCTTGTTGCTCATGGTGTGGAGTTGAAGTGACGATCGAGTACCACTGCAGTACTGCAGGAAATAAGGCTGCGACAGTCTGACTTAAGACCTGCAGCCCGAGCATCGCCTTTCTCACATGGGTTATGGTTCCTTGCGTCACCCATTAAGGATGGTGCTGGTCGCTGTCGAGGAACAGTGGCGGGACTCTAGCTGGCGCGGCTTGGCCAATTCGAAGCGACCTTCAACCCAGCTGTTCTCCCAAAATAGTGTTGGTAATTAACTATTTAAGCCAGTATAGTACCCTAAACCCTAAACCCCTAAACCCTAAACGTCACAGGTTTCGGGTTCAGGGTGGGGAGCAGAGTGCATGAGGTCCGCACAAACTCACTACTCAGCCTGAGCGGTTTAGGCGCGGCAGCCCTCCTTGTGAAGGGGAGCCTCAGGAAAAGCCAAAGGCCAAGGGGAAGGCATTGAAAACAAGACGAGAAGGATCCTTCATCTTACCTTTGGTTGTTAGGGAATGGAAGAATGGTAGTAGTAGTAGTAGTAGTAGTAGTAGTAGTAGTAGTAGTAGTAGTAGTAGTAGTAGTAGTAGTAGTAGTAGTAGTAGTAGTAGTAGTAGTAGTAGTAGTAGTTATAATTGTACCCCATTCCTCCATTCCCTACTAACCAAAGGTAAGTCATGCTCCCCGGAGCTGGAAGGAATCCCTTCGAGCACTGGAGGGATTTTTCCTTCCGCTCAGGGTTTAGGGTTTAGGGTTTAGGGTAGGCGGTTGCGGGTTAAAGGGCTCAGGATTTACGGTGAGGCTCATGAGGGTAACTGAGGCGATTTTGGCTTTGGGGATACCTCCAAGCCCATTGTCATTTTTCAGGATCCAATCCCACACGGGGCGTTCAGCGACGACCCGTAAAATTCCTGGCCTTGCCACAGGTAGCTTGCGGATTACCTCTGACCTCGGGTTTGGTTTAAGGCTTGGGGCACCAGGTTTCGAGCACTACCGGGCGACTCTATCCCTGAACTAAAGTTCTGTGGCTCGCAGACTACTTCGTTAGAACACCTGGCTTATTACCTCGCCATGGCTGATCAACAGGTGCTGACTGCTTTGAACAATATGCTGCTGGAGCACCTGGCTTCGGCGGGCCTTGAACAGCGCATTCTTCAGGAAGTTGACAAAGCCTTGAAGGCTTCAAGCGAGTCGTTGCTGACCTCGGATCTGACCAAGGTCTATCAGTGTGGCATGCACGGCCAACTTGGCGTCCGCGTGGCCTTGTCTAGTGGACGCAAATGCTCCATCTCGGTGAACCCATGGACGACTGTCGCAGAAACAAAGACAATTGCGGCGACCGAGGTAGGAATCCTTCACGAGGATCACGAATTGGCAAGCAATGATCAGGTCTTGCTCGGTTCGGAAGCTATCGGAAAGCATGTATCTCCAGCAGGAAATGCTCACCTGACCCTCGTCCGCCTCCCTGACACCCGAGACCTATGCCGAGAGCTCTTTGCCCAGGAGCTGGACTCAATCACGTCCAGCCCCGTCAAGAAGCAGATGATCGGAGAGCGTTTGTATCGCAAGGTTTTCAGAGTTTGCAATTATCAGATCAATCCGCGTTTGGCAAGCAAAGTCACAGGAATGATGCTTGAGATGGACAATGCTTTGCTGCTAGAAATCCTCGAATCAGATGAACTGGTGCTGACAAAAGTGCAGGAGGCGATGCACGTTCTTGTTGAGCATCTCGAATAATGTCGGAGGCCCGTTTGCTGATCGCCCGCTGTCTCTGCGAGGTTGGCGTACCTGATACCCTATAGTAAGCCTTAGCCTTCCGCCGCAGCATTCAGCCATGCTCAACTTTGCCGGCACATGTGCTCGAGAGAAAATGGAGTGTCAGAGCGATTTTCGTGTGTGGTTACCATGGATGTGTTTCTTCTACTACCCCTGCTACTGCTCCTGCCACTGCCACGTCCGCTGTCACTACCCCTGCTGCAGGCTTTGGTGAGAACCTCACAGACTGAAGCATGAGCCCTAAACAAGCCCCAAGATCTACTTTTGAAAACTCGAAATTGTTTTCCTTGTCGCCAAGGAATGGGGGTGGGGGGGGGTGTAGATTGTCGGGTTTTTGCTCACATTGGGGATATGCCCTTCCGCTGCCCGAGAGCATCAGCGGCGGCTTGGGCCGAGTTCTTTTCGCAGTGCGTGTGGGGCGGGGGGGAGAGTTAAGGCTTTCGGGGTTGGGGATTAGCTAAGGCTTTTAGGGTTTAGGGCGGTGGATTTCAATTTAGAGAGTCAGGCGGTGATCCACAATTGTGGAAATTGAGTGTCATGAGTATAGTTGGGAGTCTGGTTCCGATGCCATCTTTGCAATGGTACGCACTTTGCTCAGGCCGGTGTCGTTGCTTTGTTGCTGTTTTTGTTGGTGGTTCGACGCGGCGGAAGCTCTATGTTGGCAATATTTACAGTTGGTCCATCGACTGCCTTGTAAAGCCCTGCAAAACCTCCTGTGATGATACGTTGACTTTGCTTCTTTTAGGCCCCAAACTCTGTCTCTCTTCTCTCCTTGCCCAGGTATACAGTGGCTCAGCTGCAACAATCCTATTCCACCCTCCTTAACCCCTACCCTACACCCGAAATCCCGGAGCGCCATGCTCAAAAAGGGGGGCCTGCAGCAATTATTTCTTGGGGAGGGTTTGAAAGTGAAGGTTTAGGCTTGATGATTTTGGGCTGCCGCCTTACTTGAGGTCCTGAGCTTCGTGACAGGATGAGGGATGCCTTTTTCGAGATCATGAACAACCCAAGATTCGATTCTAGCGGTCAGGGTAGACACCCGGAAGCTGAGGTCAAAACTTCAACCCCTAAACCATAAAGCCCTAAACTTGTTGATATTTCTTTCAAGAACCCATTACACTCTTGAAGATAGCTGCAGGGCAGCAGGGGGCCTTATAGATCCCTTACATACAGAGTTACAGAACCCTAAACCCCGAACCCTAAACCCCAAACCCTAAACCCTAAACCTCAACCCCTAAACCCTAAAGAACCCTTAAAACTGATAATGAAAAATCCCATGAAGGAAGCAGGGGAAACCACCTGGCCGCCCCTTAAAGCCCTTTTTTTGTGCAGTTGGTAGCTAGATTCTTGGGAGCACCTTACTTTTCTGGGTTTCGGGGTTCCTGTTACGAGGATCCCGTTGTGGGATCATCTCGCTTTGAGGGCTTTCGATGATACCGTTGAGGGTTGTGGGTCCAAGGTTTAGGGTGCGGGGTTTAGATCAAACACCGTTTTATCTGGGGAAGTCTCTGGAACATGCGCCTGAATGTTGCTGTGCGCTGAATGCATGAAAATGTTATTTAAAACACAAGGCCCCGTAATATAGGGGCCGTATTGATTATAATAGGGCTTGGGGGCCCATTATACTAAAATCTGAATAAGGATCCCCCAAAATAGTATAGGTTAGTTATTATTTAGGCCCCTATATGATTTGCCCTCAAGCCTCAACAGCATGTCCAATGCCCTCGCGCCAGGTATCAGATGGGCTTCTGCTTGCAGATCCTCGTCATGGCCCTGTCGACCGCACCCTTGAAGCCAGGGCCCCAGAGCTGTGTCAGGAATTTTTGGGGTGAGCCCAGTGGCTTAAAGCCAAAACCCTATGTGGGAGTTTTCGAAAATAGGGGACCCTACTATAGCACCCTAACTGGTCACACGCATGTAAAAGGCCGCGTGGGTTTTCGCAAGCAGCATATTTTTCGAATGTGCTTTTAACCCACGCCTGCCAGCAAATGTGAGCAACTTGCATTTATGCTTCTTGAAGTGGCTATGTAGGATCATATTGCCTTGAATTTTAGGGCGCTGCACGTTTTCTCAGCAGACCTTCCCTAGCTGCTTCCGACAGTCGCAGTCGATCTTCAACTGGGACCGCCAAACAAAACTGTAAAGGTATATGAGGACGCGGGGATTGACTCCAGCATCCGTTTCGCTGTGGATTGTCGCAGGCATGTACCGGTCAAGGGCTTGCCAAAACCTATCCGCGCATTGAGTTCCAGCGAGGAGCACACCTCCAAATTTGCGCCACACCTTTCGCACAAACTCGTGTTTGCTGTGTGAGACGTGGTACGATCTCACACGTTTGTTGTGCAACTGCTTCACAAGCTTCGGCCAGGCAGGTGCACCGTCGCTGTGCAGAGCAGTGTTCCTATTGGTTCCCACATGCTGGAACATGCTGGAACAAGGAACTGTCCTTGATCTCGTGGTAGCCTTCAGGCTTTGGAGCACTGCCGGGTGGCTGCAGTTTGATGGGTAACATTGCCACTACACCCATGCCGTCTCGCTGCTTTAGCCCCACGACTCGCGCGTGACCCATCAGTGCGGCGCTTCTTGCGCGGAGGGGTGCAAAGGTCTATGGGGCCCCTGGAACTTCTGGTGCTAAGCCATCGTCAAAACTGCGGAGTTGCAAAGAAAGTTGGCATCAGTACGAAAGCACCCCTCCCCCCCACGCCCCCAACCCCCCTCTTTCGGGTTTACAGCTTACTTATATGGTCCTACCGCCTGAAACGTCGCTCGCCTTTCCTCAGAAACAGCACAACCTGCAGTAAAGCGCGCGGCCTAATACCAGCGTGTGTGGCCCCAACTAGTAGGATCATTATTATAAGGACCCCCAAATAGGGTACCCTTAATTTTCGGAAACTCCCATTTCTTCAACCCCAAACCCCAAGTCTAAATCCCAAGCTTTTCAGTCCTCAGATCCGAAACTTTAAGCCCTCAACCAGTTGCCCGAAGGCTCTGAAGTATATACAAGGTATCGAGTTTATGTCCCGCGGCCCCAAACGTTTCAACAACTCAGTGCCTTGTCGCTTCCCAGATGATGGACCCCGACGGAGACCTATCCTACCCCGAAGCTCTGCAACAAAAACGTTTGAAGCCGAGCCACCAAAGAAAAAAGACGGCAACACCCCTGCGCGTTCAACTTGTGTGTTTGCTGCGGTGATATGTGGGTGGTTGTCAAAATCATGGTCCCTTTTTGGGTCCCTATTTTAATGCGGCACCTGATATTTAGGGTACCCAAAAAGGGACCCTAATTTTGACAACCACCCGTGTGTCTGTCCGCAAGAAAAAGCTTGCAAGCACGGACCTCAAGATTTCAGTCTCGTCCACATCGCTACTCCCACTTTCAATGAACCCCCGTATGCGAACCCCAAGACCCTAAAAACCTGTAAAGCCCAAACTCGAGCCCTAAGCCCTTCAACAAATTTCAACAAACCCTGAAACAACCCTAAACCCTAAACCCCTACACCCTAAACCCCGAAAGCCCCTAAAACCCTGAACCCCGAAAGCCCCTAACCACTAAACCCTGAAAGTTACCGTAATCTGCCCTCAAACCAAGATCTTCCCCTAACCCCTGCGAGCCTTAAGCCCTACAGGAATGAACCCTGTAAACCTTTGGGCCGTCAGACCCTGGTGTATTTAGGGGGAGCCCGGTTTAGGCTTCAGGGTTTGTGGGTTAGGGTTCCGGATTGAGGGTTTCGGGCTCAGGATTTAGGGTTTAGGTTTACTGTTCGGGGTTTAGGGTTCAGGAGCTGGGTATCATACCAAAAGTCCTAAACGGCTCAATTCCGAGAGCTAAAGCTTTAAAGCCCAGATCGCGTAATCCCTTGGTGAGAGCTAAGTCAGGATACCTTGCCCACGGTGTCCTTACAACACCCCTGTAGCATGCCCGAAACAACGTCCTACGAAAGCAATATTTGATCTGTCCAGATGGCATTTCACCGCGACTGGTGGGAAGCAGAGTCAGGACCTTGACTGGGATTGAGTTCTGAGCAGACAGCCCGAGCAGGCACAAAAATGGACTTGTAGGACATCGATAGCTTTGAGTGAAGGGCATGCTGAGGGACCGAGTTTAAGAAGCTGGAAGCTGGAACTTTATACTCCTACTTCGTTTTTTGGGAGCATGGAAACCAACAAATGCACCCTAAACGCCTCTAAACCCTAAACCCCTAAACCCCTAAACCCCCAAACCCCTAAACCCCCAAACCCCCAAGTGGCCTCCGGGCCGAGGGACGCCTTCTCCAAATTCCGAACGGCTGATATGAATCCTCGGGTTCCTATTTAAAGGGATCTATAGGGGTACCTTTAGAGGGTTCCTTTAAGGGATCTATAAGGGTTTAGGGTTTAGGGTTGATGATATAAATCCTGCATTACTTTAGGGGCCCTAAACTATGGGAATTATTGTATATTCCTTATTATGGGTCATGCAGGATTTATATCATCAACCGAAGGACGCCTTCTCCAAGTTCGTGGTTGTGGCCCTGGTGCTCTATGCATCGGCCACGCTCTGCGCGCTGGCGCTGATGTGTCCCGCCTCTTCTAAGGATGGGGTGGTTAATGTCAGGGCTTTCATAGTTACCTATACTTTTTTTGGGGGGTTCCTTCATTCTTATAAACTTCAATGTAGTATAATATAATTACCCCAAAAACTCATTCTAATTATTAAGGTCCCTAGATGAGGTGATTAAACCTTGCAGATTGCAGCTTGGATCCTGGTCGATGGGTTTGGGGTTGGACAAGTGCGTAGCAGGCCACGACACGCTTTGGAAGATAGAAGCCTGAAGCCCTAAACCCCTGAATCTCAAAGTGGACAAGGAGGGACCCCTAATGGGGACCCCTACCCTATCATGGGCTATATATGTGCCAGCATCCGCGCATATAATAGCTATATTAAGGGTATATAGCCAGGGGTCCTTATTAAGGGTCCCTCCTTTTACCCTTGGAGAATCCCTGAACCCTTGAACTCCTAAGCCTAAACCTTAAATTCCCAAGCCCGACATCGCCCAAAAGCCTTTCGACTGTACAAGTCTCGGACGCACGGATAGCCCAATATCCGCTTTCCGGTAGTCAATACAATCAATGCAATATAACCTTCTGCATGTAGGTTTTAGTAACTTCTTCTTTTCTTTGCAAGTTTAAACTATGTTGCTGCATCAGGGGCATTCGGCTTTTGTTTAAGAAACGTCTCTACTCTAGATGCAACCCAAGATCCAAAAGCTTGCAACACCCCGCCCGAAAGCCTTAAACCCTAACCTGCAAAGCGCTAAGTCCTAAACCCAAACCCTAACCTCTACTAAGCCCTAAACCCTAAACTCTAAAGCCCTAAGCCGTCAACCTAAAGCCCTGAGCCCGAAACCCGAGGGCCAAAACCTATACAGCCCGCAAAGCCCCGAGCCTGGGCAGGTGACCTTTACCTCTTTGAGTGTGCTGCGTATTCATATTTAATATTATATTAGCATGTATAACCCTACCATGATTCCAAGGACAGGCTTTTCTGGGCCAGGGTAGCAGAGGAGCCCCAAGTAAGCTACCAATAGTTCTCCTGAATGTTTACCCGCCAATAGCCCTATTCGAATGATTTTGTGCCCTGCGTTCCTCCGCATGCTACAGTTTCCCTCCGCCCCGCCACCCCCCTCCGCGCAAAGTCCTATCTAATCACGTTGGGCCCTGTATTCTTAGTTATGCTACGTTTTAAGCCCTCGACCCTATTAATCCTACTTGGAGGTTCATGGGTAGTTATAAGTGTGGTTAAAAGTAGGATAACTATACTTCTGACCCATATTTGGGGCCTTAATAACCCCACCTTTAACTTCCCCTGAACCTCCAAGCAAGCCCAAAACCCTATACCCTTAAGAATCCCTATATTAAAAGGACCCTAAAAGGAACCCTTATAACTACCCCTGAGCCTCCAACCCTATTCATTCCTCAGCTCCTCAGCCTCGAAGGCACGCCAAGCAGTTGGATGCCAGCCTGCCCACCGCAAGGATAAGGCGATATCGCTTTTAGGGGTTTAGGGTGCAGGGCTTTGGGTTTAGGGTTTAGGGTTGCGGGTGTAGGTGTCAGAAGGGTTTAGGGCTGAGGGCTTAAGGTTTAGGGCGTAGGGTTTTGGGGGTTTAGCGAGAATCGGGTTTAGGGTTTAGGGTGTAGGGTTTCGGGTTTTGGGGTTTAGGTGTTTAGGGCACTCCGGGCTGGAAAATTTGGGCTTAGAGTCTTGGAGGTAGTGGTGTTGCAGCAGCTTTGGCAGGGTGTAGGTGTACGTGTTTGCAGTTGTCAACGAAGCGGCCTCAAAGTGTTTTTTCACCTTCTTGCCTTTCGCTCTGACATGCGGGGCGGGGCAGGGGGCAGAGGGCAGAGGGCAGAGGGCAGAGGGCAGAGGGCAGAGGGCAAAGGGCAGAGGGCAGAGGGCAGAGGGCAGAGCGCAGAGAAGGGGGTTGAGACGCTGCTGGAAGATCAACATCCTTGCCCTTACAGGCTGCTGCGGCAAAAGTCCCTGAGTCCAAGGGTCTGCCAAAGATTCCGGCTGCCAGGCCCACAGAGGGGGCAGAGGGCAGAGGGCGGGCAGAGGGCAGAGGGGCAGAGGAGTGATCCGAAACCCTAAACCATTAGCGAGGCCGCTGCCTGTCCCCAAGCCTCAAAATTCAAAAGCTGTACACCCTAAACCCTAAACCCTAAACCGAATAAGCCCTAAGCCCCGAAACTTACGCTTTTTTCCCGACTTGAACGGAAGGCTTGCGACGGAGATTCTTGAGAGCGTCGCCTGCCGGCAATTTAAGAAGGGATCTCCGAACATGTGGAATTAGCAAGGTGTGACGTTCAGCGTTTTTAATCTAGGCTACTGCTTTAGGGCTGAATGGACTTAGGTTTGGGTTTTTCGGGCTTCCATGGTCGGGGTTTAGGGCTCAGAGGTTCAGGCTTTGAGATTGTTGAAGGGTCAGGTCTTTGTTGTTTGGTTCAAGACTGTCAACGTCGTTCAAAGCCATTCAAAAGTACCCCAAAAGGAGATACATACTTGGTTCTTGGGATAGGAGTGATGCAGGTAAATATTGGGGGTGGCGAGTGTATGATTGATTCTAGAAGCTTGGGCCCTTAGGAGGGTTCATGCTGTGCCTCAAGTCCAGCAATGCTCCCTGACATTCAGAAACCAAGATTATACACTACATCCGAGACTTGACTGACAAGCCCCGAGGTCCCGTCTAATCAAGCCCCGGCATGTAGCCGGCAATTCACATAGCAAACGCAACCAACCCCGAAGACCCTAATCTAAATCTCCCTAAACCTGCAAGCCATACATTCTGCAGCTTGCACCAGATGTTCGAATGCCCTTCTCAGAGATTCTTGAATCATCGCAAAAGCAGTACATAAGGCTAAACTCATTCTTGTTCGTCGGGTTCGTTCTGTCAAGGGAGACATCGTGACCTAGGCGATTCCCTTTTCATCAGCACAGTTTTGCCGATAGATGAAATTGCTCACCCAGTGGCCCAGGGGGTGCCGGAAGATAAGTAGAGAGGTTTCATTTTGGGTAGTTGTCAAAGGTAGGGTCCCCTTTTGGGTACCCCAAATACCTTTTGCCGTATTATAATAAGGACCCAAACAGGGACCCTAATATTGCCAACCCCCCACTTAGCTCTATGTAACTGAGCAGCTCAACACTCACAGGCCCGAGCATTCAGTAGTCATTAAGGTTAAGGACACAGTCAAGCGAGTCGCAAGGGTGCGCTTTCCACAGCTCAGTGGGATGATGACTACTTGGAGGATCATGGAACTTAGTAAGTAGGATTATAAGTACCTTAATTGGGTTATAAGTAGATATAAGTATAGCTACCTTACCTATAACCCTACTTACTATGTAAGTCCCATGAACCTCCAAGTAAGCCGGGCTTGAAGTTAAGGTTTTCAGAGTCCACTGTTTTCGGGCCAAGGCTTCTAGGAGTGCAGCAGAGAGCCCCAAACTTCCGGTTTAGGGTTTAGGGTTTAGGGTAAGGCTTTGGTCCTAAACGTCTCCCCCAAACCCCACAAATTCGACCCACAGCCCTAAAACGATAGAACCCTAAACCCTAACCCCTAAACCCTTAAACCCTAAACCCCTGAATCCCTTAACCCCCAAAGCGGGAACCCACGCCCCCGCGGAGGCTGGGGTTCTCTTACTGGCCACGATCGCCCTCTGCAGCTTGCTTGATTGAAGGAGTTCAGCGTAGTAGTTCAGGGTTTATTTAAGGTTATATAAGGGTGTAGGCTTAGTGGTTTAGGGCTTAGGGAACAGTTCAGCTTAGTAGTTTAGGCTTTACGGTTTAGGGTTCATATAAGCCTGCCGAAGTGAGCAGTTTAACTTGTTTGGGCGAGCGAGCTCAGTAATCTTTTCGGGCCCGGGAACTCTGCGACCAGGTTGGGGTTGAACACGGTTTGTTGGGTGTTGCTTTGTCGCAGGATACCAGGTGTAATCGGGTTCTTTTCTGCAAAACTTGATGTAATTGATCAAAGTAAGAGAAACCCAATTCCCGAAAAATGCTATATCCGCAAGCCCCTAAACCCCAACCCTTATTCAAGCTAACGCCCTAGGGTAAAAGCCAGAAAGTTGGAATATGATTATCCTAAACCCTTTATGGTAAATTAGAAGGTATCCTACCCTGAAACCATATTCCAACTTTCTGGAGTTCCCTTCATGGCCTCAAGCTCCAAGCCCCTGAGACTCCGTGGGGAGCCCAAGGCGCCCTTGCCCCGGAGTCGCATGGATGGATCGGTTGGGCCCGGCTCTCAGGGGTTTAGGCTTTAGGGTTTAGGGTTTAGGGTTTAGGGGTTTAGGGGTTTAGGGGTTTAGGGTTTAGGGTTTAGGGGTTTAGGGGTTTAGGGGAGGTCAGCTGTGCAAGTCGTATTGGACCTCATATGTCTCGTATTCTCAGTGACTAGGGCTAGGGCTCAGTGTGTCTCCAGGAACTGCCACGGTAGAAGTATATCAGGCTAGACTTCAAAAGGCCTACACTAGTCTGTCAAGGCCCCAATATTGTGGTTCCTTCCGGTTTGCCGGACTTCTTGTGTCAGGAGTTGTTTGCTTCCGGGTGCAGGGCTCCACCTCCCAGAGCCTCAAAGCCAAAGTGTATCTTCGGCAGTAAACCCTGCTACCAAGCCAAGGCAAAGAATCAAGGTAGCCTTTCCATCCTCATCATGATCATCTGCACATTCTGCTGCCTTGGCTATTGCTACCACTAGTGCTGAGCTCTGGTTTTGCCTGTCCCCTTTACCCTTCGAACCCCTACAATCCCTTCTTGGGTCCATGCGAAACATGAATCTAACCCGGCCTAAGTCGAAACACCTATTGTTATGCAGCCAAAGGCCTTGGTTAAGGGTACTGTGAATTGCCTGGAAAAATGCGACGCCCCAAACCCACTTCAGCGTAGAAAGGAGTTTTAAAGATAAGAACCCTAGGCCCTGCAGCACGGTGTCGCTTACTAGACTCCTTACTACCTCTATGATACTACCCTAACTAAGTATGCACGTTTAATAGGAACCATACCAAAAGCTCCATCGAGTGTCCTGTTGGGGTCGGGGTATAACCCTACAGCCTCTGAGCCCTGAAGTGAAGTACCCCAAGCCCTCAAACCTTAGCCGCAACCCCACGAGGCCTGTCTCTTTCTTAAACCTGATAAGCCTGTTTTTTCTCTCAGAGCCGAATTCCAACACACCTGAGGTCATGCTGTTTTTGATCCAGCTCGGCCGTGTAGTGCACAGCGAGCCGCGACCCGGTTCTGAGATCCATCTTTGCGACCTGTGCCCTCCGGCCGGTGGGGGGGGGCTGGGTGGCTGGGTTTAGGCGGTTTTAGGGGTGCTTCTAAGGCGGCATTAAGGGATTTTCGGAAAAAGGATGCTGCATATACATGCAATAGAGATAGATTTGATTTTGATAAAGGCATAGATACAGATATAGCTATAGATAGAGGTATAGAAGCATATGGAGATTTGAACACAGATAGACATCGATAGACGAAGATAGATGGAAATGAGTAGACAGACCGGTAGAGAGCGAGAGACAGAGAGAGAGAGAGAGTCTTGAGATGGTATTATGGTCTTTGCTTAGACGTTTGGGGCGGTAGGTTTGTGCGAGCATTCATGGTCTTGAAGGGCATGGTTAAACAGGGTTTAGGGTTTGTGTTTCGCAATAACCCATTAGGTCATTAGGCCACCTCCATTCTGGTTCGACTTGTTCCGGCATCGCATTCACACGCGTTTCTGTTGCAACATGATCAGGTTTGTCATGCGATACGGGGGTTGCCGGAGAGCCTACTACGTCTTAACCCTAATCCCTAAACACCCTGAGTTGGAGAAGGAGTCGGAAGCAGGGGCACAACACCTTGAAGCTGTGACTGGCAAGCGAGCCAAGCCAACATGTCGTCGAGGTACGCATGGGCCGTGTTTATCCACTTCGTGCCGCTGACGAACCAGTCAGGGCTTTTCGGCAGCAACACCTAGTCTCGGAAAGGAGTTCAACCTCACCACTTAATTTTGCAGGTTTGGAGCGCAATTAAGGCTCAAGTGTCAGGAGTTGTTAGTAAATGAGGGTCGCAGATGTCGGGAAAGGTATAGTTATCATGTGCCAACTTGTTGTTACGCTCTCGGAAGAAAGTGATTTGTTGAGGGTGCAGGGGCTTCTTTGCTACAAGGCCAGTAAACCTTAAACCCTAAACCCCTAAACCCTAAACCCTAACCCCTAAACCCTAAACCCCTAAACCCCTAAACCCTGTTTCAATCAGCAGCCACCTCAGACCCCTCAGGGCCGCTCCCCTCACCTCCTAATGTAGGAGCCCGATTACGTTTCCCTGGGCCTAGAACCCCAAAATAGTAGGGCTCATAGAAAGAACCCAGTAAAGGCCCAAGGTTTCTTAATCAGGTTCCTACAGAAATATATTACCCCTATAGATCTTCTGTACTGCCCCCCTTACAGTAAGAGTCTATAAAAGGGCTACTATGAAGGTGCTAATATATCTGTACTATGAATATTATTCAACTGTTACTGAGTGGGGGCCGTACCCAATATAGATCCCTTATAGTAACCCTTATAGACCCCTTAAAAGGAGCCTTTGGCCTAAGGTTTCTTAAACAGGTTCCTACATTAGAAGCACTTGGAGGGTCGGGGGACTTAGTAACTGGTTATTTTAGGGACTTATAAGTACCATAACCCCAATTAGGGTCCCTTTTAGGGTACTTCTAAGTCTACTTACTACCTACTTACTAAGTCCCTGAACCCTAAACCCTATAGTACCCCTATAGAGCCCTTTAAAGGAACCCTTATAATCCCCTTTTAAAGGAGCCCCCTACTTACTAAGTCCCCCGACCCTCCAAGCAACGACCGCTACGTCGGGAGCGTCGTGGTTTTGGAACCCCTAGGCTCCCAGAGGCCGGCTCGCGTGTTAATTACGATTTCGGGTTTAGGGCTCAGGGGTTTGGGTTTAGGGTTCAGGGGTTAGGCTTTAGGGGTTTAGGGGTTTAGGGTTTAGGGTTTAGGGGTTAGGGTTTAGGGTTTAGGGGTTTAGGGTTTAGGGGTTAGGGTTTAGGGTTTAGGCCTTCAGCGGCTGCGCCCCGCCTGCCAGCAAAAAGCCTGGTTCAGACAATCCCGGCCCTGAGGCATAACCCCGGAAACCTTCAAGAACTACAACTTATCCCTAAACCCTAAACCCGAAATTGCCGAAAGGGACAGAGAGTTGTAAGCCTCCCTAAACTTGTACAGCCCCAAAGTCCACGCCCTTGCCTTCCACGCGGACCCCCAAACGTTAAAGCCAACAGCTAAGCCTAACCTCGAAACGCAGACCTAAACCCGCACCAAATCCCTGCAACTGAAAATCACACCTCCCAAAATCTATCACCTAGAATCCTCCATCCTACGACACGATTGCTGCATCTTCTAAACCCTAAACCCACAACGCAAAGATCCGAGTTCCACAAACCCTCACAAAACCCTACAAACCGTATCGAATCCTATCGAGCATGTAATGACAACGGCCGTAAAAACACCTGAACCGTAAAATTGAACCCTAAATCTCAAGCCCCCCAAATCCCTGAATCCCTAAACCCCTGCATCCCTAAACCCCTAAATCCTTAAACCCCTAAACCCCTAAACCCTGAACCCCAAAATCCCTAAAGCCCTACTTTGAGACCCTGTACTTGGAGGTTCATGGGTAGATATAAGTAGGGTTATATGGAAGGCAGCCATACTTATAGCATATTAGTGGACTTCTTCCCCCGCTTATCCCTACCCCAAACCCTAAAACCCTAAAACCCTAAATCCCTACGGAACCCTTTAACGCGACCCCCTTTAAGGGACCCTTAAAGGAAACATTTAAAGGGACCCGAAATCCTGAACCCTCAACCCTAATCCCTAAACTCTGACCCCTAAACTCTGATCCCTAAACTCTGATCCCTAAACCCTAAACCCTAAACCCTACCGAACCCTTATAACTCCCCCCCCGGAACCTCCAAGTATGCGAGGATGGGACTGGCCATGGCAGGCAGTTGGCCGATTTGGGCCCTCGCCCTTCGCCTGATTTTTTTTAATCGTTTTTTTTTCGGGGTTTAGGGATTAGGGTTTAGGGCATTTAGGGCATTTAGGGTGTGGGGTTTAGGGCAGTTAGGGAGTTTAGGGTTTAGGGTTTAGGGCTCAGGGTTGAGGGATCAGAGTTTAGGGATTAGGGTTGAGGGTTTAGGATTTACTCATAAAGTTGGAAACCGAATTAAGGCCACACAGTGCTGGGATTATCTTGAGGATTGAGGCTATTGGGTTTCCAACTTTTGGGCTTCCACTGTAGGGTTTAGGGCATTTAGGGAGTTTAGGGCTTAGGATGTATGTTAGACTTGGGAGGGTTTAGGGTATTTTGGGAGTTTAGGACTTGAGGTATTTAGGGGCTCAGGGTTTCGGGTTTGGGGTTTATGAGGTTTAGGGTTTGGGGTTTGGGTTTCAGTGTTTGGGTTTTCATAGTATCGGAGCCGGAACACTCAGCACATCCTTCGGGTTCCTCCAATATTACGATAGCACAACATACTCCGAATTCCTTGTTCTACTATAAGCATCAAGGCCCCTACATTCAGGGCTTCCTCATACTGTTTTTGGCAATTTCTGCTTTCTTTTTTTTTTTTGCAGGCATGCATTGTTATATGGTTTTGCAAAGGTTCCAGGAGGGCTAAAAGGGTCGTCGGGTTTTAGCGCGTCAGATCTTCAGGTTCTCATGGTTTTAGAGATTTTGGGGCCTCCTGAGGCTCGACTGGCGGGTTTTGTGGCTTTCAGGGTCTACTTGGAGGTTCATGGGTAGTTGTAAGTAGGGTTATAAGCAGGATAACTATACGTATAACCCGTTATAAGTGGGGAAAGGGAAAGCCCGTGAACCCTCATAAAAGGCATTCTTGGGAGACCTTGTAATCTACAACCGTGTAGCCCAAAGCCCGATACTTAACCCTAAACCGTAAACCCTACAACCGCCATAAAAAAAACTCCAAACACCCCCAAACCCTAAGCCCTAAACGCCTAAACAAACCCTGAAATCCTAAACCCTAAACCTCAAAGGCCTGCGCCTTTTTGCTGGGATTGCCGGGTAGTGGCCCCGAATTCCCGGCGATGTTCCCTTCCAACGAGGCCTCATCTTGGTTCAAGTTTAAGGTTTAGTTGTCCAGGTTTTAGGGCTTGGGGTTTAGGGTTTAGACTGGGCCCTTGGGCGTGCCTTAAGCCCTAAACCTTTAGAGTCGGGTAGGTAACCGCTGGTTTTTGTAGAGTCCTATAATTCTTATATAATCCCACAGATTCACGGCAGTCCCTCCAGGATACTGGACAAGTAAGAAACCCTAAAGTTCGTTGTAAGGCAAGCCCTTGGCATTAATTGAACACGTGTTGCATTTAGCAGTGGCCCAAGAGGCGTAACCTTTTAGCTAAAGTCAGGGCACATGATACGGGCTTGTCAGTGTCTAGAGCTTTCTCAAGGGTTTCATTCATACGGCTCAATTCCCCAATCACTGTGGTACATGCTATGGGGTTTTAACTCAAGAGTCAAGAAAATTATTCAAGGTAGCCACGCGACGCGCTTGTCCGAAGGTTGTCCCATATTATTTGCACAGGATCTGTCGGGCCCTTGCCAGATGAACTGTAAATTCCAACACCTGGTCCACCTTTTGGATTCCAAGTCTCTGAATCCCGCAAGTATTTGGGGAGGCGCTCGATCGTGATCCTTCCGTATTTTGTCCGCTCTTGAATCCCGCAAGTACTTGTTGGAAAGCATGCCTGAATCCCGCCAGTAGGGGAAAGTATTTCGGCCGTGCTTCTGAATCCTTTTCAGTGTTGCGGGAAGCGCTTTTGGCTGTGCTATTGAATCTCGTGAGTACCTTGCTCAAAAAGTTTGGCCGTGGCCTCGCAATTGCGGTGGCTGGCCCTTTGGTGGTCGTGGCGCTGTTGTATCATTGTTTGGCATGACAGGTTCCTAAAAGGTTTCAACAAGGAGCTCGAGAATTCTATTTGTGTGTATGGACTGAGCATTCTGAGTTCCATGTTTAAAACTTCGGGTTTAAGGTTTGAGGTTTGCCCCAGAAGACCCGTAATGCCTTAAGAATTTCGAAACTCTTGTCAGTTGGTGTGTACTAGTGCTTTAGGTTTCGGGTTCGTAGGATAAACCCCCCCTGGCCACAAACGAGTTGGGTTCCAAGGCCCTGACCCTAAGTGAAATCCAAACCCCTAACCCATAAACCCTAAAGCCCTGAACCCTTATATAAACCCCCTAACCTAAACCCAAGACCGTAAACCCGAAAACACACCCTCACGCAACCGAGGCATTTGGGTATGGGTGCGGGGCTTGTGGAATGCTTCAGGTGCATGGCTGGTTTTTTCGTAGCTATAGCGTTTAGCGGTTCAGATCGACGCTACCCCTAATCTTAAACCATCTTAGACACTAGACCCCAAAGCCAAGCAACTTGAAGAACGATAACCCTCAAACTTGAGAACCTGCTGTGAGTCCCAGATCCTTAAGCCCAAAATCCTAAACCTCAGAAGTCATCTTCTTACCCCCACCCCCAATCCGACGAAGCTTGCCCAAAACTCGACAGAACAAAGCCATCAAGCACTAAATCTTTGAACCCTACATGGGTGGTTGTCCAAATTAGGTTCCCTTTCTGGGTACCCTAAATAATAGGTGCCGTATTATATCAAGGACCCCTAAACCCTGAACCCCTAGCCCCTAAACCCTAAACCTCTAAACCCCTAAAGCCTAAACCCCTAAACCCCCTCAACCCCTAAACCTACACCCCTAAACCCTTAAAGCCTAAACCCCTAAACCCCTAAAGCCTTAAAGCCTAAACCCCTAAACCCCCACACCCTCACACCCTTAAACCCCTAAACCCAACCCTCGAGTCTCGTGGAACAGGTCACTTTGCGAGCCAGGCAAGAGACTCTAAGTTGGCGGTCTCGAGATTGAAGGGCCTTAGGGGTTTAGAAGAGATTA